CAAGTGTCTCAAGAATTACGTGCCAGTCTTATACATCGACTAGCTCTCACATTAATGCCTTATTCTAAAGCCCAAACCACCTCCAAATAGCAATATGATCCTGAATGAGGGCAGAATGCGACGCATCCCACAAATCGAATTCTATGTTGTTCCATACAATTTGAAGGTTCAACGTGGAAGTGATGTTTTTGAGAAGTTTTGTATCCTTTTACCAGTTTCGTGGTTTTAGATTGAACTGACCTCGCTGTCAGCCCGCTGTAACCTCGCATTCTAGTAGAGTATGCAGCAGAACTCTCAGAGTTTGTCAATTCCGTTCGGCTACTTAATCTTGACAGGACTCGAACAATTAGAGGGAATATTGAGGGACGTAGGAATTGAAAATACTAGTATCGCCCTTTGAGACACTTTTATTCAGGTATCTGCTTATTTTTTTTCAGTACTACGAAATCATTCAACATACCGATAGCTAACTCCAACAGCCACCATTATTGAGTGGTTTAACCTTGAACTGCCAATGAAAAACCAGATTGCTCACATCAAGTAAACATCTCCGATTCATATACGCCTGAATATGCTTGTAAACTCAACCCGGAAAAGGGGCTGTGCCAAGAGTCAAGACGGGTGAGAGGTGTAATGCCGATGGCATGATCCACTTGACGTCGATCAGACCCGTTCCGCATCCCTCACCGCCACGATACTCGTTGTGGCAATTTTCCACTTTTTCGCAAGGTTACGTGACGAATATCCGGCCATGGTTGTTCGTTCGGTAATTGCGATTGAACCAACCAACGCCGCTGTCAATGCACCTCATCGCCCGGTGCGATCCGCTCCCAGCTAGCGCTTCAAGCGCCATGCCCCCACCCCACCAGCGAGCTGGCCGGGCAAGGCCATTACCTCCGCCCTAACCCGTACCCGTGGCCGTACCACGTCCCTCTCATCTGCACAATAAACACGTCGATTATCCCAATACATCGTGATCAGCGATGGATCAGGCACTAATCACCTCATTCACGGCCTTGTCCAACGTGCTGTGCAACATTCAGCTGTCTATAGCTTGCGTTCTGGATTCGGTGCTGGCAATAACTTCCTCCCCAACATTTTATCATTCGTCCGGTCATCTCAATAACATAGACACGATATCCTGATTCTGCTTCTGGTAGGCTTCATGTTATCAAAAACGATCAAGTGAGTGAGGTTCAGATCCAAGTCATCTTTGTTGTCTACAGGTTTGACTTCGCGCTCATCAAAATCTTGCTTGACCCGTTTTGCTGTCGAAATGCGCTCATTCTCTTGGCTGTCGAAGCAGCTGTTTAATCGGGACCTGCTGCAGTCGTAATGGGAGAGCAGTTTTGTTCTTGACACGATGCCCTAAAAGAATGTGTCACTGCGCCAGTTTAATCCACCGTAGATACGAAACCTACAAAATTACTCACATTTTCCTCCAACACTAACATTAAGGAAAACAAAGGTAAAGAGCTGGCTGAAATACATCCGAAGCTCAAGTCCCCGCAGAGTCGGGGCTGTGGAGCATTCCAGATAAGAAAGTGGAACGACATCGTGTTGTCCCTAAAGGAAAAAAATTAGGCACTGGCTTCGATTAAGCCTTTTGGAATGTTTCAAGCATTCTACTACCGTACGAAATCATAGTATCAGGTGAACGCGACTATACAATGAATTGCGGGCCAGCCAACGCACAAGTCATTGTTTTTGAATTCCGAAACTAGTTTGGCATTCACTGTCCTCGCAGGGTTGGGAGACTTCGTAGGTTTAGGGGGGGAGGGGTTTCTCCAGATTTGACCCCCAGACAGGATCAGCAGTCGCGTTTGTACTTTTTCGAAATTTTTGTGACCTCTTTCAAAGGCAGGGTCTGGGCGGGATTAGGCACGTTCATCCACATGTTCCTGATCGCGGTAGACGGGCGGACATGCGCTATGTTGCGCCTCCTTAGCTGCGCGCGCGACGAATTCGCTAAAAATTTGCTCGACCGGCAATCCACACCCTCTCGCGCAAGCCCCGCCTTTCGCTGTCGGCTACCGCACTGGCGCCGCGAGAAAAGCGCGGTCGCAATTGCGGCAGCGTTAAGCCAATGTCACGCTTTGCGAATCGAACGACTCATCACTAGCGGTTCGCTAGCGTCCGCAGAACTGCGCAACCAGCGAATCTAGCGAATGGCCAGCGAATCGCTAGCATAGCGAATTCTTTCGATTCGTAAAGTCTGACATCGGCCCTAGTATTGTGCACTGGAGCAGCTGAACCTAGCCGTTGTGAAACTCGTACGAAAACGCTCCTTTGTTTATCCCAAGGAAAAATGCGACTGAAGGAGAGGGTGCCTTGTTCAAGGCGTAATAATTGGTTTCCCTTGCTTTTTTTCTTTTCCAGACCACTCATCACCCCTAGCTTCGTTATTGAACGCGCTTACCTATTTCATCCCGAAGTTTGCCTTTGGGGGAGCGTGGAGACGATCCCATCCCCGGAATGCCACACAACAGTGGCATCTACTGCATAAGTGACTACTGCAGTTATGAAAAGCAGTCGCCGCTGCTACGCATATGTGCCTCTCTCAGCACGATAGTGCTGTGTACCTTGAGGGCTGGAAATAACTTTACACCAGCGAGTTTTCAAACGATCAAAACTTTCTTCAAAATTGTTATTTTGGAAACTTGAAGTCAGAGTAATACACTATGAGAAACAAGAGAAGCGTGCTGAAACTACCTCAAAAACAGCCGAGAAAAAATAGACTTTTCTGCCCTTCTTTGTAGGAACGAAAGCATCTTTTGAACCTTTTTGGGCTTGCATTGCTCGCAACTTTCTTAAAAAATGATATGACATTCTGTGTTGAACACGGAATTTCACACTAAGAATATACTGAAGCGTCTTCAGGAATCAACCTTTTTTTCAAAAACTTTTCTCTTCTTCATCTCCGAGAAGTCGGTCCTTTCATGCTTTGGCACTTTTTCTGAGTTTTAGTCCGGTCCAGAGACATCGGAATTTCTTTATAACATTATTTTTGGCGCTAAACTACTCTTGACATGAGATGCACCATGCTTGCGCCAGTGCTTCAAAAACGAGTTGTTCGGTTTTTTGGTTGTTCTTTCCTAATATGGCTCGAACTCCATCGATTATTGGAAGGGACATTGCCACGATTTCTGCCGCTAGTCACTGCGTTGAAGAGCCCTCCCATCTCTCACAGCGCGAGCCAAATAAGACCCCTTCTCTGCACTTGTATACATAATATAAACGGATGGTTGACCATGCCACCGGGAATGCAAGTGTTATGGAGCGCTACTTCCCGCTTCAGCACCTCCGCCCGGTCTCGTCATGGGGTAAGCTAGGCATAAGTAATGGTGTGAGCCGTACCCTCTCTTTGTCTTTTTGCTTCCATGCTTGATTGAAACGATTGGAGAAATCGTGTCTCGTGCCGTATATTCTGGATTCTTGTGCGACCATCTGACTTCTTGTGAAAAGCCTTGAAATGGGTTTTTTTCAGGAATGAACAGTACTTCAGGGGAGCCCAGCACATCGTGGAGTATCGAAGGCATCGAAATCAAATGGCTCGCTGATTTACTAATTCATGATCGGCTGAGCAATAAGTAAGTGATGCTGAGAGCATATTGTAGGAAGACTTGAACGAAGAACGTTTTAAAACGAAGGGAACAACAGCAAGAAAAAAAAACCAAATATATTGTAACTGTTTTCGTCTAATGACTATCGGAAAGTAAAACTCCGTTGATGATTTCAACTCTTTCTGTGCTAGGTTAGGTTTTTTGAGTACAGAAAACAAGCCGAAATACGGGTTCAAGCCCGGAACTGTATTTTTATTTTTGTTCCCCCTCCTGCAGGATTTCGGAACATTTATTTATTTATTTATTTATTTATTTACAACACTTCACAAGGTAGACGTAATAAACAAGACAACAGCATCTTATACAACATACTATGTACAACTTGTGTAACTCAACAATACTTCCTTTGCAAGGCGTTTAAAGTGCACAAAGACAGGATAGAGCAAAGCTTCTGATGATTCAAGAGAGATGAACTGTGAAGCTTCAAATTGGTTCGAGGCGTTGCATATGAAATTTTCACAGAACCGCCCCTGGTTCTAGATTCGATCCTACTGAAGAATTTGGACGCATCAATTTGGAATCCCAGTTAATATCTTAAGCCATGCAAACATCATATACCCTCCCCTTCAAAAAGCGAGAAATTGTCGGTGCAGACCAAACACCACAAGTGACGACGGCCTCCAAGTAAATCTGGTTAGTAGTGGTTCATAGTGATAGCTGATTTTTGGTAAATGATAGTTGTAATTAGTGACAACTGATAGAATACAACTGCAACAGGTTAATCATTTCAT